AGAATTGAGTGAGTTATCCGTTTTCGAACTTTTCACGGTTACTGGCAAAAACTCGGTTTTTGAGAAAAATGGTCTCTGTGAAGTTCCTTCCTTCCTTGGAGATGGAAACAAACGTTGTCACGATAATCAACGTAACTGATTACCTATGTTTCGAGTCTTTTTAAGGTTGCCTTCTAATCGAGTTTGTCTTCTAAACAACAAGTTGTTTCCTGAGAGTGGAAAAGCTTAAATCATTCTGAGCTCATCGAAATTTGTCTTCTCTCACTTGAGTTGATTCACGAACTTTTTTCGTACAATATTTTTCATTCTTGCTCGATTTTGTAGTAGTTTTTGTTGAAATTTACCACGTGTAATATTTTGATCACGCTGACTTAATATCACGTGTTAGTTTTTCTTGTTGTCTGAAGAAGTGTTCCACTAATTAGTTTTATTGTAAATAAGCACACGTCATCTTATCCTAAAGAATATCTATACGTGATACAACTGCAATTTCGAGTATTCATAATACGAAGTGGGCAGTCTCTGCCCACTTCGTATTATTAATGTTCTTATATATTAAACGTGCTGAAGTTTCAACTTTTAGCTTGTTCAGAGACGCATAATATTGGCAAACTATCTTTTTATGTCTGTGATTAGTTGACTATGAGAATTGAGTATAGTAGTACAGTAGTTGTATCCTGAAACCACATATGAAATAGTTTATTTTTTGCAGTTGTATCACGTATAGATATTCTTTAGGATAAAATGACGTGTGCTTATTTACAATAAAACTAATTAATGTATTATTAGCGTTATTTTCTTCGGTTATTAATAACATTATCTAAAAAAATGATTGCGTGAAGAATATTATGAACACTTGTAAAAGATTGTAAAAACAAATTACAATTGAAATCATCTGACATAATAGAGAGAAAAATAGGAAAAAAAAAGAAAAATGTGTTTTGATCACCAAATTTTATTCTATCAAAATGATCACCAAAAAACAACATTTTTGATCACCAAATTAATTAACGAAACAAATAAATGACAAGAAAAAATACATAAAAGAATAATTTAATCAAAAGAAATTCTATTTTCTTTTCAATGTCATGTTAAATTAAAAAGTAACGCATATATCCGGATCAAGTGACCGTAAACTGACAACCTAAAGAGAAACATCTAACAAATATAAAGCTCACATCTCTCATAAATACATTCATAATTTGTATAGTAATAATTTGTTAACTGTTCTGTTGAATATAGTTATAATTTGTCTTGTAGGAAAAATTACAATACCATGCAGAACTTTTTTTAATATTTTAGAGTCTTCATTAAAAAGAGTTTAGTAGCTATTCGAAATCCTAATTGGTTGTGTATAGTTGCAATTCCTAAACTCCCTAAAAGGTTTAGGGGACGGTTTATTAGTCTTTGCAACTGCTGACTTTTTCCTACATAATGCGTTAGCAAAAAGTTTCCAAAATTTTTCAGTAGATAGCAGCTGCTATTAATTTCTTCTACCTATTTTTTCTTGTACTTTATTTATTTCATTAATTAATTTGGTGATCAAAACTAATATTTTTGGTGATAAAAACAAAAAAATACATATCCAAAAAAAAATGAATCACGTTCAATATTATTGAACGATAATTCAACGTTCAAGAATGACAAAAAAAATGAAATCATGTTAAAGAATACTAATCAAGTTAGACTTGGAAATTAAATGACAAGAAATGCTTGACAACAATTGATAGACCGAATATCGGTTATATTGTAAACGAAGAAAAAACGATATTATCTACTTGTAAAATGTATTATCAATGTTATCAAATTGAAAATATAAAGAATAACTAAGTAATGTAGTCAGTCATTCTTTATATCTTTCATATAGTTATTTATAACAATAATACATAAATGAATAGTAGATAATAAACGGATGTTAGATCAATTAGAGATGAAAATAATAACTAATTATTGAATAGATCAGAAAATTTTTAATATATAGTCTTTTATGGACCTGTCAAATATAACTAAATTTAAAAATATGCGCTATTTCTATAATTAAATAGTAATCTTGATTCAGACAATCATTCGCTCTAAAAATTTTCATCATTGTCTTATTTGAACAAATTTAATTTCTTCTTTTTTGTTTTTTCTATCATGTTTCACTCTATTAACTTAGTTTTTTTTTTTTTGCTTTGATTTTATTTTAATTTTATTTAATCGTACATAAATGTTTCATATACAAAAATTTGAGCAATAAATAGAAAAAAATATTCTGAGCAAAATTAATAAAAGCAACAACAACAAATACAAAATAAAATGCATTGGTATGAGATCTATTCTCGAAGAATTGGATGATGGAAATAAAAACATCTTCAACTAATATTATATTAACTTTTATCAAATACTTAAAAGTTTTTATAGACACGAATACTATATGTATGAAAAAGTTGGATCATCTCTCTATTTATAATATTCTCATCGTCACGATGGTATTAGAAAGAAACGATTCTTGCAAATTTAGACTGTCCTGATGCTATTTGACTTTTTTTTGTGATATGAATGGTGAATAAATATGAGTATGAATATGAATGGATACTAGCAAAATTTGATTGCGATTTATTTTTTTTTTGAAAGAAAAAAACTAGCAGCAAACGAATGATCAAAGACTCTGTTTGATGCGAGAAATATGAATGATTTTTTTAGTATTTTAAACTAACATATTTCATTAGTACAATTTTATTTTGTTTACTGTTTGCATCCGTTTTTAAGTGTAACTTCTCGAACAGACACAATAGACAATTTGTCTTGATTCTTAATTTATCGCTAGAAATAACAGAAAATCAATTTTCGTTGTTGTTGTTGTTTTTCAAAAAATTTTTTTTAATCAGTTCCGAATTTTAGTCTACCGTACAACAGCCTTTGAATCTGACTTCAAACAAAATCGATTTGTTCAATTTCTATCCGAATACGATTCTATAAAATCTCCTATCTATTTATATATGATAACACATCATTCTCTCTCTTTAACGTATGTGATATACTATTTTATTTGTCATTTTTATACATATTAATTTGTTGCATTCGATTGGTTCTTAGCCGTTGTTGTGTTGGATTTCCTACAATAAGATAGTCTAAATTTTGACTCTTTCTTGTAATATATTGTCTTCTATCAGCATAAAAACGTTTTTGTGGCTCAACTTGCTGTTTTTGTGTTTCAACTTGTTGTTGTAGTGGTGATGATGATAAATAGAATACATCATTTCTATTTTGATTTTTACAATGACATTTAAAACATATTTTTAATAATTTAGCTGTCGATTGTCTTAGACGACTCGATATAATTAAATATGTTATAGGTTGAAGAGCACAATTAAGAAAGACTAAAATTCGAACGATATTAATTAACCATTGAAATACTAATTCATTTATATTTTCAAATATATGATAGTGTAAAATAAATAATAAATTAAATAGACGATACGGTAATAATAGAATAATATAGAGAACAATGACAATAAATAACATAATAATTACTTGTAAACGTTGAGTATGTAATCGTGTATCACAGGGTGATGGTAATGGTGATGATGACTGAGTTTTTGTAGAATATAAAAATGAAACTTGTTGAGGATTTATTACACTACTATGACCATTGTAGTTATGTGATCGTTGATAGGAATGTTTTACATGTGGAGTGGGAATAGTCGATGCAAATCCACGTGATGAACCACGTTGATTTGACATGGTAGAAGATGATGAAGAACCAGATGGACCATATTTTACTGGGGGTGTTTGAATTACTGTATTAAGATTATTATTACTGTGTGATCGACTATTTGGCATTGATGTTAAAGTATTATTATTTGTTTTTGTAAACTTTTTCGATGCTAATATTAATCGTATGACTTGTCCATAAATAACGATAAGAAATGTTCCAGTAACTAAATATGTTAGAACAAGTATTAGGATTAAATATGTTCTCGACCATATTTGATTCGCTTCTGTGTCACAACTGAATACTGTTGTATTTGTTAGTGAAATGGCCATATCATCTTTACGATATTTTGTTATTGGTATTAGAGGAATATTTATTATTACAGCAAAGAGCCATGTTAAGAATATTGTTGTCTGATAATTACGAATTTGTTTTCGAACAAAATTACCCTTTAAATAAAAGAAACGAACTTCTAATTATACAATAATGAGTGATTAATGGATTAAGTAATCAGTTTTCTACATTTTCTATAGTTTCTACAATTTGTCTTTTATTTTTAGAAATTTTAGCGAAACAAACTCCGCTTAAAATTTCAGATATAGATGGATAGTTTCTTGGGATTATTGTTAACATATTTTTCTATTGAAAAGAAAAAATATTTCTAGGTTAACTTATGTTGAAATCAGAGATAGGAATAAGTTTTAAAAACTTTTGTCATAAATCATGACTATAAACTTTGTTTTAAACAGAGATTTCCCAAGAGAAGTCCATTATTAGTTATTTATTTCCCTGTCTATCATTATGATAGACATAAGGAAAAAAAACATCTAATGGACAACATTCTAATCTTTTTAACCGATGATAACGGTGTTGTAATCAAGGCGCGTATGTGGTTGCCACTCAAATATAAATCAAAATGGATACAACCCAATAACGTAACCATCTTCTTGATAAGCGACTAGAAAAGTAAGGATAGGAGCGTATGAATATGTCGACGAAAAGGGAAAAGAAAATTTTTAAATTCTTGAATGACTTGAAGGCTATTACACTCTAAAAAAAAGATGCTCTTCAGATTTTCAACGAACTGAAAAATCAATGGGAATTTTGTTTTTTTTTCATTTGTCCAAAATAGAGAACTCAGTTTCTGTTCTTCAGCTTTCAAGAACTCAAAATGTTTTTCAATTTTTGTTCCCTATTTGGGACAAATGAAAAAAAACAAAATTTCCATTGATTTTTCAGTTCTTTGAAAACCTGAAGAACATCTTTTTTTTAGAGTGTAAGTGGCAGCAATCGACAAACTGAAAAAAACAACAATAAAATATTATGATCGTATACAAGTGTTCAAAACGAATGGAAATAACACTTATCATTGAAAATCATACTGTCACTCGAGTTTTCGAATTGAAATATTTAATGTACACAATTACATGTTGTCCATCATTTGAACTAATGTTAAAAGAGCTGTCGAACTACAAAGCAAATAGGTCACATCGTTTCAAAAATATATGAAATTTACGGAGTGTCAAGTGCTATTTTATATTACAATACGAAGAAAAACCACTTCAACAACAATCGATCAAATTAGCAAAGAAATAGTGCCAATACTACCGGAACTAATTAATGCCGAGTTAAAAAAAGAGACTGACACATGGTTTTTCCTTTTTCACCATTTTGATACAAACACTACTCATGTCAATGGACTATAAACAAGATGAAGAGACAAATAATTAATAAAATAGTAATAGCAACAATCTTCTTTTTCAATTACTTAATGGATTTTTCTAATACAAAAAAATTTTCTTTTAACGTGTTAACCATTTTTGAACACATTTAATAGCAGAAAATAGTAATAAGTTCACACGCATTAATTGATTTTAAAAAAATTTCTAACGCATTTTTGCATGTGTTAAAATGAAATTAGGAAAAGGTTTTTTGATAAAGTTTCTAGATTCTCTACAGTATGTCTAAACTAGGGGTGCATCGGTTATTTTTTCGTATTTTTCAAAAATTCACAATAAATGTTTTGTATTTTCATAAAAACGATTTGCAACATTTTTCTAAAACAGCAGTTTTGTAGA